ACATTAACAGTTCCAATCGATTATTGCCTCAACGAGGCTTGCGTGTCCGTTAGACACTGTGTCAAATCAAAACGAATTTCGTGCTCAATGAGCCCTGTGACAATGACACTAACGTCTCCACGTCTCGCTGATTTCGACAGCAAACACGGGCAGAGCCCAACATCGTCTCCCGCACGCGGTGCAACGTCGTACAGTGCGTCCGCTGCATTGATGGATGTATATCCTACGCTCGATGAGCACAAGCGTCGCACTCCGTGTACGCTTTCAGTGCCGAGTGGCCTCGTTGAGGATGTGGATGTGGTCGACTACGAGGCTGACACTCCTTTTTCCGCATGTGATGACGAGGAAGGCGAGCTGCGCCAGCAGCGTGATACGAGCCCTGTTCGCGCCTTGCGGACCCCATGTCCGTTCCCTGACATCTGGTCAAACGAAGGACGTGGTGGAATCACCAATGACCTCCACGGGGCTCAGAGGCGGCAGCTGAATGCTGCCCATAAGGCGGCTTTGAAGCGCGTCCATCCACTGTCGGTCATTGACCCTCGTGTGGAATATGGCTTCCGCCCAGCGGATCCCGCTGCGGAAGCAAAGGACGCGGTAATTCGATCGTTACGCGTCCACATCATCGGACCGCGGACAAAACGGAAGATGTGCTTGCCCATATGAAAGCTCTTCGAGCTCATTCTTGGTTCCAGAAAAATTTCCGTTGGAAGCTTATCGCACTCGTCTACGCGCGCAACGAGGGGGCTGTCGTGTACCCGCAATGCGGACAATACCTGTAGTGCTCGCCCCAGGCGAAAGCGCTACAGATGACGACGCACTTTTTGAGCGATGGATGCAACGGCTATTTACCAGAAACATTTTCACTGTATATCCTACAGTGAGCCACAAGCAAGTGGACGTGCGTGTGGAGCGACACCTCCAATTAAGTTTGCCAAACTCAAGGCACGCCGTCGGCTTTCTTCAGATTGCCGCCCTACGACGTATGGGTTAACCCCTAACGCGCCCGTGAGCTCTATGACTGCGACCACAAGAGCTCAAGGCCACTGCTTGAGCTCAGCTCATGACCCTTCTACTCCCTGGCTAGTGCTGGAAAGCGCGAGGTCGTCCAATGACGCAGGGCGTCCTGATCGTTCTGATCAAAAGCGTCCACGGCGACTGGACAATCTTGCCGAACTGGCGTATCAAACTCCCACGAGTTTTTGGAGACGCGACATCCCCGCCATCTCACCATATTTTTGTCTGACCCTGGTGACGCCGTCGTCTCACTAGACGTTCCACGTGATAGTGGACGTCACCATTCTCATTGAGAAGAGTCGGTGGCGGGCGGTAACGACCGGGTCGACCGCCACCTGGTGACTCATGATGCTCTTCGAGCCCTTGAGGACGAGGTCCGTCGAGAATCGGAGCTCCGCTGAGCGTCATGCTGAAGTAGCATATCGCTTTGCGGACGCTGTTGCGGATTTGAAGAATGTCATGCGCCGGCTGCCTCACCTTGAGGATTACCGCGCTCTATCGGAACGACTCCTAGCCATGGAGCATGCGAACAACGGTGCGTGCGACGGTGGAGCGCTTGGCGCCATTGGAAATGGAGGTTTTTGCACTCTGTGCTCAGTTGATGATTCAGCTTCTGGGTGGCCGAGGGCCCTTGGAATTCACTTCGGCGACAACGCTACCGCGTTCACTTGCGTCGGATCCCGGTACGGCTTGAGCAAGCCCACGAAAAATACGGGGTGGTTGCGCATCCGTTTCGGAAGTTTTAGCGTATACGCTAGACCCCGCTTGGCCACAACCTTGAACGGTCCAATACCGTGGACGAATCTTCGTCCCGAAGAGAGCAGAGGTTGCATGTGTAGGCAGGTTCTTAGAATTCAATAAAGCCAGGTCCCCGACCATAAAGCTTTCCACTTTGCCTCTTCCTTTCTCATCAGCATATTCAATTTTTGGGTTTCTTGGCTTTCAGCCATCGCATCGCGAACGTGTCGTAGAAACTCAATCTGGTAGACAAGAAGTCATCGACTTCTTTACGGATGGTGAGGGGGCTGGCATTTGCTACCCCTTCGGCTATTCTTTCCCCACCAAGCCCTAAGCCATGGGATGGCGGCGTCAGCGGGACGCGAGGGTGATTTAGCACGTTCACGAAAAAGGAGTGTAGCCGGTAGACGAACTCACTGCATTGTTCAGTGCAAGCTCCACGAGTGGCAACATGGCGCTCCAGAGCCTCAAAGTCTCAGCGCAGACGCTGCGAAGAATGTCCTCGATGAAGCGATTCACCCTTTCGGTTTGACCATCGGTCTACGGATGATCCGCTGTCGACAATTCTAACTGGTGCCTAGCACCTTGAGGATGGACGACCAAAATTTTCCGTTGAACGGGGTTCTCGATCAGAGACAATCGACTCTGGGAGTCCGTGTTGACGGAACACGATCCGCGGACAGCGTTGCTGTACCAACTCCGTCGATGGTGTCTGGTACCGCCGCCAAATGATCCATATTGCTCAACCGGTCGACGAATACCACGACACCCGTGTTGCCCAACAATCTCTCGGCAGGCCAAACACAAAGTGTCCAAATGCATGGACTGCCAGCACCCAGTGGGTACCGAAAAGCTAGCCAGCGGCGCAGCCGCATTTGAAGACGGTTTTACTCCTTTACACGTCTCACACGTGCCACATAGGTGTTCGTCCATTTGTACAACTTGGGCCACCAATAGTGGTGACTCACACAATTGTACGTTTTCTCACGACCGAGATGACCACTGATTGGCGTGCCGTGAGCCTCATAGAGAACATCGCAAACCGTTATTCAACGAATAACGGTGCAATCGAGCACGCAATCTTGAAAACAATTTCTTGTCCAAGTTTCCAAACTCCTTGCTCCCAAGAACCCGTAGCAATGCTACACACATCTCATCACCCACATAAGCGGTGAGGATCAAATTCTTTACAAACGACGTTACAGTTGTAACATGAGCAAGATCATAGTCTGCTCTGCGCGACAACGCATCAGCCAAAGCATTATGCTTTCCCGGCTTTTACTTCAACTCGAAGTTACATTCCGCAAAGAAGGATAACAATCTAGCCATCTAGCCATCCTTTGCGAGAGGTGGGGCGACTGAGTTTCAGTGCGAAATGACGCATGATCTGTGTAGATCACAAACGGCTTGAAGCCGAGCAGGTGGACCCTGAACTTGACAAGTGCATACATACTTCATCGCAAGTAGTTCCTTGTCATGAAATGGGATTTTCTTCTCCACAGCTTTGAGCTGTCGAGATTTGAGCGCGATCACCCGATCTCGCCCCTCGGCGTCTGTTTGCAGCAGTGCACAGCCGATGGCAAGGTCCGAAGCGTCACAGACGACGCTGAAAAGACGATCGGAATCTGGCAGTGTCAGTATTGGTGCATGCAGGAGGCTGTCTTTGACCCTGACAAAAGCTTCCTGATGTTCGGTATTTCAACACCATTCCGCATCCTTATTTAGGATATTGGATAATGGCCGCGCCATTTCTGCGTAATTTACGCTATACTTGTGCAAGAATCGGCAAGGCCAAGCCACTTACGCAGGTCCTTCTTTTACTTTGAAACCGGCCAATCTACAATCGCCTTGACTCTAGCGGGGTCCGCTCGAAGGCCACGCTTCCCTATGAAGCACTTTAAAAGGGAATCCCTTCTGCGCCAAAGATTCACTTGTGTGCATTGGCGTACCATCTATTAGTGCGCATGCACTCACGCACCGCTCTTAAATAGTCGATGTGGTTCTTCTT